AGTGAAGTGCCAGGCAGAAACCTGATGATGGTCACAATGAGCAGGGGAATGTTTCTTTAATGAATCTTTTTTATGAGAGAAAGAGGTCAGCGTTTCAGTTCATCAGCTTTCCCCCTTTTCCCCTTCCTCCACTCTCTCCCTGCTCATCCTGAATTCCTGGGGTGTTCAACAAAGGTGAATTTAGGTTATTTCCCTGGTGAGCAGAATGTGCTTTTCCCTTCTGTAGCTTGTTTGTTTGTTCCCTGAGAAAATATTATTTCTCTCCAACTGATGCCTTTTTTGGAACTTTTAGTATCTTCTGTCAGGATCACGCAAATACATAATGGATATATGACTTCAAATTTTCAATTTACAAAGTATCCAAGAAAAGGTAAAAATAAAATGCTGTTTTGTCACCTCTTTAGTAGTACAAAATTTAAGCTTTGATGTTTAAATATCCTTATCTGTTTTGAAATGGTGTATGGAATATGAATTCCTATCAGAGCCTGTTTTTAGGGATGGGAGGAGATGTGGACTTAGTGTCACTTTATATTAAATGCTAATGAATTACATTTTTTTCTCAGCTGCAAAATTTCCAGCATGGTGTAACACTATTAAAATATAATATTGAATATTTCAGAGTAAGCCTAGAGGTGCTGTCACACACTGAACTAAATCATCACCTAATCTTTTTAGCTCCTGATATAATTGGCTCAGAAGTTAAGGATCACTCTGAAATACAACTGGAGCTGCTTGTTTTGTGATGAAAATCCACCATGGAGATCTTTAATTATATCACCTCTTTCATCTTGACAGTTCTGCAGCTTCCAGAATAAGTCTGTTGAGGGCTTTTTTATTTACACAGTGACCAATTTTATGAAGTAATTTACATATCAGATAAAGGCAATTTCTTTTTGTTGCCCTGAAGATCTTACAGTCTGACTGCAAAAGGGGTTTGAAGGGAGGGTGGCAGCTCTTGCTGTGGGCACACAAAGTGTCCTGGAGCTTTTCTGGGATTATTTAGTCAGAGCTGGGAGCCCTTAACTCTGTTGGCAGACCAGTCTTTTGTTTGTTGCTGCATATCCATAGATCTGCCCCTGAGAAGAAGGTTTGTTTTTGAGACAAAGAGCTGTTTATATGAAAATATATAGAGAGAGCTGCTTTTAAAATTGCTCAAGGAAAGCAAAACTTGGTCAGGCCAGTGGTTTGGGTTGGGAGGGACCTTCAGGACCATCTGATTCCACCCCCTGCCAAGGGCAGGGACACCTTCCATTAGCACAAGTTGTTCCAGCCTGGCCTTGGACACTTGAGGAATGAGGCAGCCACAGCTTCTCTGCCCAGCTGAGAATGGGCTTCATCCTCTAAAAAACAACAGAATTTCTGTAAAGAGGCAGATTGTGGGAGGTTTGGAGCTGAGAGCAGAGGATTTCCTGCCTTTCTTGGAAATGCCCAAACACCCAAGGAGCAACTAAACCCTTCCCAAAGGTGCTGGGCAGGAGGAGAACCCAAAGGTCCATGCTGTGATGTGCAGCCTCGGGATTTGCCATCCTTGCTGTTGTTAAAGGAGACTTGCAAAGCTCTTCCCTCACCCAGAGCTCCAAGTAGCAGCAGGGGGGAGGTGATGAGAGGCAGTGTTTGCATCTCCTGCTGGTGTCTGGTTGTTCCAGCAGAACCTTCTGACTGAGCAAATTCAGCCTCGGGGATGCCCAGAGGGCTCCTGGGTGCCAGCAGCTCTCCTGCTGCTCCTCGAGATCTGCAGCAGCTCTCTTGGAAAAATTGCTTCAGAGGCTTAAAAGGGAGAAATCTCTGGATGGCTTTCATCTGCTGGGGAAAAAAAAAAATCAGCGTTTTAGGAGAAATCTTGGTGGCAGATGGTGATGGCGTTGATCCAGGAGAGCTTCCTCCTCCCTCCCTTGGATTTTTCTAGTTCTCAGACATGGAAGAGCTGTTGCTGCCCTGCATGTTCCTGTAAGTCTCAGGAAAAAATGCCCAGTTCCTCATGTCCTTGGAATAGTTTCCTCCTCTCATTTGTGTGCCATTCCCCTTTCCTACAAAAACGGGTTTATAGGGAAGTTTTGTCCCTGAAAAGGATTGAGTTCTCCAACAGGTGTTACTGCATAGGGAATCCTTCACAGCCTGGGAAATAAGTCCTTAATTTTGAGCTGACATGCTTCTTCCTTGGATTCTTAACCTGTGGCTGGGATGTATATAATGAGGGCCCCATAATTAACAGTCGTTTGGGGTAAGATAATTACCTTAATAGTCTGTCTTTTTGAATTTCTCCCTGGTGACTCGGGAAGGTACAGCTGAGCTGCTGGCAGATGGAGAGCACCAGCTGCTCAGCGTGGAGCTTTTCCAGTTGGTGCTGCAGGGAGGTGTGAGCCAGCTCTGCTCAGAAGTTGTGTCCCACCTCAGGGGGTTGGATTTGCTTTTTAGGGCCAGTGCTGAGTGGTGAGAGTGACCCCTGAGCCCAGCCTGGCTGCAGTTACTCCCAGCTCTGCTGGCATCATTCCTGTTTTCCTGCTCCTGGTGAGACAGGTAGTGGGTAACTGGTGTGGTTTAACTCCATGCCTAATGTTCTGCCCAAATAAAAACTAAATTTATGTATGATAAAAACCCAAAGATCTTGATGGTACTGGGTTTGGGATGAAATTTCCAAGGAGCTGCTCTGTTTTTTTATGACCAGGAAAGCTGCCTAAACTGCTGGACCCAGTTGGTGTTTGCCCTGAAATCTGGAAGGTTTGTATTGCTGAGTGTAGGAGTTTGTGAGCTTCACTAGCAACTTTAAAACAAATATGTTCTTTTCCTGAAGCTGTGCATGTGCTGCCAGCTGAGTGCTGGGAAGTGGGAGCCTGTGAGCCTGTGATGGAGCAGCCCTTGTGGCATTTTCAGGCACGTGGCTTCAGAGCACCGAGGTTTTGGATGTTTGTCTTTCCTGCTGCCCATCTGAGGCCATCTCTGAGTCCCCAGCCTCTGCCCTCTCCTCATTTTTACCCCTGTGTAGCCTGGCAGAGGGAATGTGAGGGAAGATTGTCTAAATGCAATGGTGGGGATGCTTTAAAAAAAACCCAGTGGATTTCAGAATGTAAAAATCAAATGCCATGTTCTGACAGGAACAAATACATTCCAGAAATCATAGAATCATGGAATGGTTTGGGGGGGATGGGACCTTAAAAGTCCTGCTTCCAGTCCCCCTGCCTTGGATACAGGGATACTTCCCACCATCCCAGGTGGCTCCAAGCCCTGTCCAGCCTGGCCTTGGGCACTTCCAGAGATCCAGGGGCAGCCACAGCTTCTCTGGGCAGCTGTGCCAGGGCCTGCCCATCCTGACAGGGAAGAATTTCTTCCTAATATTTAAATGTCTCCTTATAGTTTAAAACCTTTCCCTTTTGCCTTACCACTATCTGCCTGTGTAAAAGTCCTTGGATTGCTCCTGCTCCCTCCCTCTGTTGAGCTGCCATTCAGATCCTTTGCCTTTCATTCATGAAAAGTTATTTTTGTGTCTGTGCTTGTTTGAAGTAAATGCCTCTGAAACGGAGAGTGATTGGGGTTTGGATGCGTCTCCGAAAATAGAGCCTGCATCTTCTTTCAAGATTTCCTTTGGTGATGGTTGGGGGTGGCCTCTGTGGAAATACATAAAAATAACTTGGTGGATTAAAAATACTGTGGGGAGCTGCTGCTGCCAGGAGCCAGAAAGCTTTGGAAGGGGCTGTACAGCCACCAGATAAATCAGCCTAGGAGAGAATATGTCCTCCAACTTGTCAGGCTGCTGCCTGTGCAGAGATTGCCTCGTGCCAGGCTCTTCAGGGAACATTCTTGCTCCAAAGGGAGAGGAATGAGGGCTTCTCCATGTTCCATCCTTATCTGTTTGCAGGTAAGGAATTTTACTAAAACCCAAGATCCTGTTCTCCAAAGGAACTTTGGTAACATCTATGCTGGAACATGTCCAGAGCTGGGGAAGGATCTGGAGTCCCAGGAAAAGCAGAGTGGGCTGGAAAGGGGCTCAGCCTGGAGAAAAGGAGGCTCAGGGGGGACCTTGTGGCTCTGCACAGCTCCTGCCAGGAGGGGACAGCCAGGGAACAGGGACAGGAGGAGATGGAACAGCCTCAGGCTGGGCCAGGGGAGGTCTAGATTGGATATTTGGAAAGTTTCCACCCCAAAAGAGTGGTCAAGCATTGGCACAGGTGCCCGGGGCAGTGTTGGAGTCCCCATTCCTGGAGGGATTTAACAGCCATGTGAATGTGGCACTTGGGGACGTGGATCAGTAGTGGCCTTGGCAGTGCTGGGTTAATGGTTGGGATTGTGGAGTTGTGGAGGTCTTCTCCAACATTTCTGATTCCATTATTGAGGTTTATTTTCTGGAAGTTCCTTTTTTCCTTCTGGAAGCTGCCACAAGGATTGACTCCTGCTCCCATAAGCCCTTCCATGTGGCTACATTTTTCCCTTTGCTCTGGATCCTGTGCATCTCGTTAGCTCCAGCCTCTGCTTTAGCTCATTAATAGTGGTATTAATCTGTTCCAGTTCCCAGCTCTAATCGCAGATTCCATCAGATCAGGGGTTTCTCTTGATCTTTTCCAAGAAGCTCATTATCTAACACAGCTGTAAATGTTGCTGGGCCTGACACCGATGCATATTTTGTACCATGGGGGAATTTGACTAATAAAATAATCCAATTAGACATTTGTTTTTGTCTCCCTGCGGCATCTTTGATTACTCGTCTACCTCAGCTCTGTGTTGTAATTAGGGAACGTTTGTACATCCCTTTGATGTAAAAGCACTGGTGTTATCCGTGCCTCTGGCTCTGGTTCAGAACTTGGGTAAAGGAATAGCTGGGGATTAAACCTGCAGCAGGATCTGGCAGGGCTAGGGAAGCTGTCAGACCTGTGGGGAGGGATGTCAGGGGTTGAGTGTTGTACAGCAGATATTCGAACATGAGCTGTGTCAAAGACAGCATTCCTGAGAATGGAGAGACCACATGGGTCCTCAGAGAACTGCATTAATTAATTCAGTGAAAACTGTTTTCATAGAATCACAGGATGGTTTTATGGGAGGGGATCTTAAAGACCATCAAGTCCAAAGGTGCTCGTGCTGTGGCTGTGCCATACCCTGTCTCATTTAGTCTTTCTCTTCTCTCTCCAGTCTTCCCCTGGTTTGGCTTGGACATCGGAGGAACCTTGGTCAAACTGGTTTATTTTGAACCCAAGGACATCACGGCCGAAGAGGAAGAGGAAGAAGTGGAAAACCTGAAAAGCATCCGCAAATACCTGACATCAAACGTAGCCTATGGCTCCACAGGCATTCGGGATGTGCACCTTGAGCTCAGGGACCTTACCCTGTGTGGACGTAAAGGCAATCTGCACTTTATACGCTTTCCTACCCATGACATGCCTGCTTTTATCCAAATGGGAAGCGAAAAGCACTTCTCGAGCCTCCACACCACCTTATGTGCCACGGGAGGTGGAGCGTACAAATTTGAGCAGGACTTTCTCACAGTAGGCATTTTTGGCTTCTATACCATTAGGATCTGGTAGTGACGTTGCTTTGAAAGCTTAAAGCTGGAAACTTTTCTCTGCGCGCTCTAAAATTTCTCTAAATCTGTGTTTTGATGCTGTCTCTAACTCCTGTTAAACTTGGCATGTGGAGTCAAGTTGGCATCTCCAAATTAAAACACTTCCTGCCCTGAATGTAGCTCTAAAATTGTCCACTAATGATCTTTCTTGCACATCTTCCTCTCTATTTTTAATCTCTTGTGCTAATCTCAGTCTTTTCATTGTTTTTTTTTTTACTCATTGCTGTCTTTCTCCTGCTTTGTTTTCTTCCTTTGCTCGCCTGGTTTCATTTCTTAACACCTGTGTGAATGAGCTGGTTGAGGTTCAGGCATATTTGGTGGTAAATGTAACTGTCAGGAAGTTCATAGTTGGGGTTGGACATCATCATGTGGCTTCATTCTTAGTGGGGTTCTTGTTCATGGTGAAAATTGTGTGATAAATATTTGTTTAGTCAGGGCTTGGAAAAATGCAAATAAGGAGGCTTTTAGAGAATCATTAAGGGTGAAAAGCCTTCTAAGATCATCAAATCCAGCGCTGCCAAGGCCACCACTGATCCATGTTCCCAAGTGCCACATCCACATGGCTTTTAAATCCCTCCAGGGATGGGGATTCTACCACTATCATGGGTAACACAACTGTTTCTGTTTTCCTAATACCCAATTTTAGTCAAGGCAGTGACATGAGGGGAAAACGATTTTATAACTTCCTCACTTTTTTTTTATGCTCCTTTGGATGGGTTTTGTGGGGTATTTTGATCAAACAATGCAAATTTTCCTGGCTTTTCACAGCAGTGCCTCAGCATCAGGGCTGTGGGAATTCTCCCAGTGTCCATCTGTGGATCCAGATTGTTTTCCCCTGTTCCTCACCCGAGGGCTGCTGTTCTTAGGAGTCCCTGTGCTCTCCTGTGATCCATTCTCCCTCATCCTCTGCAGGGAGCATGGATATAGCTGGACTGAGCTGGCAGTGAATGCATTTTTCCAACCCTGAGCATAAATACTTCAAGTCCCTGGCTAATCTTCAATATTCCTCTTTTTTCCTTCCCACCAGATGGGTGACCTTGAGCTTTGTAAGCTGGACGAGCTGGACTGCCTTGTGAAAGGAGTGCTGTACATCGACTCTGTGGGCTTCAATGGACACTCAGAGTGTTACTATTTTGAGAACCCCACGGATGCTGAGAGGTGCCAGAAGCTCCCATTCAACCTGGAGAATCCCTACCCTCTCCTCCTGGTGAACATTGGCTCAGGGGTCAGCATTTTGGCTGTCTATTCCAAAGACAACTACAAACGGGTAACAGGCACCAGGTGAGTGCTGGGGGTAAAGGGACTTGGATTTTAGGGTCTGGAGCACATTCCTGCTTTGCAAATGGCATTTTCAGGGATGAGCTGCAATAAAGGTGGTGAGGGGAATTACCAAGCTTCTGCTCCTACTGCAGTGACTCCCTGCCAACAAAGATCCCTCCTGGAAAAGAGGATGTGGATTTCATGATTTAGTGTCTTTACTGCAGTCAGTCTCCATCAAAGCTGGTTTTACAGTTGCTCTGCTGCAGGAATTTAAGGGCTTTATTTATTTCTTTTATGAGATTACATAGTTTGGGGTTGTTAACTCTTAGCTTTGATCCAAGAAGTTGAGACTCCCATCTTGACTTCCAGAAGTTGCTAGATTTTGGTGGAAGGGATAATGGCATAGCAGTCATTCCCCAGTGGGAATGACAAAAGCCACATCTTGAAGATGTGGCTTTTGTGTCCTGGCAGAGCCACAGAGTTCTGTGGCATTAGGCTTTCCTGGATTCCCTGAAAGGCAGTAGTAGTAATGATAATGATAATAATTTTAAATTCACTCAGTACAGTTCTTACTCTTACTAGACATTATGAGTGGCATCTATGTGATGTAAAGTGAACAAGACAGAGTTTTTGCCCCAATATTTGGATATCTCTGCCCTCACACTCCAGTTATCCCTCAGAACTAACATTTATTTTAAGATTAATGTCTTTGGATGCTGGGAAGAAAGTGGACAGTGTAACATAAAAAATTTTACAAAATTTCTCATTTCTCACAGTGCAGAAGGCTGTGAGGGATTCCTTACAGCCTCTAGGTCACGTGAGAGGAACAGACTTTGAGGAAAATGCTGCCTTTCCATGGTTTTCCCTAAAAAAAGAGGTCAGGAATGGGGTGACCTGAGTGAACTGGGATGCAGAGCTGAACAATCTGAGCTTTCATTTTCACTTTGCTTTACTTGCAGCCTTGGAGGGGGAACCTTCTTTGGCCTCTGCTGCCTTCTGACGGGCTGCTCCACGTTTGAGGAGGCCCTGGAGATGGCATCCCACGGGGACAGCACCAAGGTGGACAAACTGGTGAGGGACATCTACGGAGGAGACTACGAGCGCTTCGGGCTGCCAGGCTGGGCTGTGGCATCCAGGTAACGCCCTGCCTGGGTCTCATGGTGGTTTTGTTTCCCCTGGAGATCCTGCAAGGATGAAAAACTGGATTTAGGTGCCTTAGGAGAGCAACCATTCCTAAGAGATCTAAGTTGTGGGTAGCAATGCTTTTTGAAGATAGAAATGAGTCCTTGGGTTAAATTAGCAGTTCCCATTTTCCCCTGGAATTCTGATGGGACCTTTAACCCCAAAACTGTCTTTACAGCTTTGGAAACATGATGAGCAAGGAGAAGAGGGAATCTGTCAGCAAGGAGGACCTGGCCAAGGCCACTTTAATCACCATCACCAACAACATCGGCTCCATAGCACGGATGTGTGCCCTTAATGAGGTATTTTGGGAATCTTCTCTTGCTCCCTGCCTGAAACATCACCTGTGTGCTGTTGCCTGCTTGAGGAAGGTGCCTCTCTTTGGGAACAGCTCTGGGAAGCAGTGGGAGAGGAGGAAAGGAGGGATAGAGGGTGTAGGGGCTGGATATCTTCTCCTGTGCTGTTTTTATGAGTTACTCTGGATTTTTTGGCCAAGCCCCACCACAGGCATTGCTGCATCTCTGTGCTTTCAGCTTCTTTACAGTGCTGCCTTGTTGCATTCATGTCAAGCAGCATTGTACAGGGCTATGAAAGAGCAGGGACCTGCTCTGCACTCCATCCTGAGCCTGCTTCCATAGGATGGGCTGATGGAATCCAGCATCCTCCTGGCTTCTCTGCTCTGCAGCCAAAATGAGGCAAGACATGTCCTGAACAGCCTTGCTCATAAATGCATCTGCTAATTCCTTGTTCTGGAGCTCAGCAGAATGAAAAGAGCATCCTGAATAGTTCAGGGGAAGTGTTAATCAGTGTGGGGAGGGAAGGAAAATCCATAGAAGTTTGTAAGTGCAGGAGCAGGTGAGACTTGATCTGGTTCCTCAGAAAGAGGAGGAACTGAATTGTTTTCATGTTGGAGAACAAGAAAGCTTCAGAGCTTGGATCAGAACTATTTTGGGATGGAAAAGTAAAGCTGGAGGTCTGGTTTAAATCCAAAATAATCACTGCTTGGTTGGTCTTTTTCTTTCTTTAAAAATTGTGTTGATTATGGGCTCTTAAGCAGTTTTTCCCCACCAGTTTAACAGTAAAATCCCTCAGCTATTTCATGATGAATCAAAGGCCAGATCTGAGAGGAGGGGAGGCAGGTGGCACTTGATGAGCAGTGTTCCCAGGCAGTATAAGGATTTTGTAGGAAAATCAGCTGTTCTATCCAAATTCCTGAGTTAGAAAGGCTGTAGTTTGGCCTGGGAATTTCTGGGAGAGTCTGAGGAGAAGGGTGGCTTAAAATGGCCTGGTCCTTCTTTCTGATGGAATTGTGTGGGGTGTTCTGCACGTTCTGCCAGACACTTTCAGCAGGAACTTAATTCATAGAATTTCAGAGCCATTTAGGTTGGTGAAGTCCTTTAAGATCATCCAGTCCAAGGCCAAGGCCACCACTGACCATGTCCCAAAGTGCCACATCCACACGGCTTTTAAATCCCTCCAGGAATGGGGACTCCACCACTGCCCCGGGCAGCTGTGCCAATGCTTGACCACTCTTTTGGGGTGGAAACTTGCCCAAATATCCAATCTAAAGCTCCCCTGGCCCAGCCTGAGGCCGTTCCCTCTCCTCCTGTCCCTGTTCCCTGGAGCACAGCCCGAACCCCCCGGCTGTCCCCTCCTGTCAGGAGCTGTGCAGAGCCACAAGGGCCCCCCTGAGCCTCCTTTTCTCCAGGCTGAGCCCCTTCCCAGCTTCTGGTGCTCCAGACCCTTCCCCACATAGGGTTTTTATCATTGCAAGCAGAAAATAGAATTTAGCCTTAATATTCCTTCTGTTTTCCCTTAACACTTGCAGAACATCAACCGTGTGGTGTTCGTGGGCAACTTCCTTCGGATCAACACCATCTCCATGAGGCTCCTGGCCTATGCCCTGGACTACTGGTCTAAGGGACAGTTAAAAGCACTTTTCTTGGAACATGAGGTAAAATTTCCTTTTAAAATTTGTCTCATGACAAAAATACAAATCCTTGGAGCGCTCTGGAAAGAGCCACATGGAGCTGTTGGGTGCACACGGTGCAGGAGGAGCTCAGGGCTTTGCTGCTATAGCCACAGCTTTATTTTATTTTATTTTCTATTTTATCATGTACTAACCTAGTTGTATCTTTCTCCTCTCCTTTATATGTTGTTAAAATTAAACTGTGTGTAATAGCCTGGAGAAGGGAAGGCTCCAGGGAGACTTTCCAGTGCCTAAAGGAAAGCTGGAGAGGGACTTGGACAAGGGATAGAGTGACAGGACAAAGGGAATGGCTTCCCACTGCCAGAGGGCAGGGATGGATGGGATATTGGGAAGGAATTGTTCCCTGTGAGGGTGATGAGGCCCTGGAATGCATTTCTCAGAGCAGCTGTGGCTGCCCCTGGATCCCTGGCAGTGTCCAAGGCCAGGTTGGACAGGGCTTGGAGCCACCTGGCATAGTGGAAGGTGTCCTTGTCTGTGACAGGGGGTGGCACTGGGTGTCTTGAAGGTCCTTTCCAACCCCAGCCATTCCCTGATTCTGTGGGCATTGCTGTTCCTGTGTCAGGAAACACATTTCATGGATTTTCACTGGATATCCCCATCTGCTCCTCAGGGTTACTTCGGCGCTGTCGGTGCTCTCCTGGGACTCCTGGACTCAGCCTGACTCCTTGCAGGATCTGTGTTGGACCTGTGGATTCAGGGCACTCCCTGGGCCACTGAGCCCGTGCTTTGGGGGTCACTGAGCCCATGTTTTGTGTCACAGCCCCCACTGAGACTGTTGCACTGTGGTGGCCTGAGGGGACAGCGTGGGGATGGGTGTCTGGAGGAGTTTAAATCCATCCGGGATTACAGCACAGGTTTGTTCCAAAGGATGTGATTGGAATACACTGGCTGGACGTGGGGGTGTATGGGAAGGTCTGGGGGGCATTTCAGTCACATGGAATTGCCCTTTTTAGGGGAATTTTTGTAATTTTACTCCATGTTTAATGACGGTGACAAAGCAGAGCAGGGACGCTCTGCTCCTTCCATTGGGATTCCTTGGAGTGCCAAGTGCCCAGGTCAGTTCTGTGTTCACAATCAGAGGTTCTCCACGTGCTGGAAAATGGTCTGTGAAGGGGGAAGAGCATCAGCACAGCCCTGGTGTGTGTAACTAACTCCATGTGGCCCACTGGATCCACACTGGGACACAGCTGTGCTGCCAGCCAGGCTTCATTTATCCCATGTCCTTGTCTCTGTCCCAGGGATGGGACAGCAGAGCTCGGGTCTGTGCCTCAGGGTGAGTCCCACTGCAGCCTCCAGCCCTCCTCAGCACCCTCTGGGATGGTGTCAGGGGTGTCAGTCAGCCTCCAGCCCTGAGATCTAAATTTGAGGCTGGAATAGGGATATTCCTTGTATGTTTGTTTGTCTGGGGTTTTCTCTCTGTTACCAAACTCCACCAAAGAGACACTTCCTTCAGTCACACTTGGATTTTTGTAATACTCCATGTGACATTTTTCATGGCTGCACTCCTGTCATTTTGGGGCAGTTCTCCCCTTTCCATGCATGCTGTACTCCCTCTTTTCCCTGTGCATGCTGCCACACAGCCTGTGAGCAGGATTCTGCAGTGTGGAGCCCCTGTGGAAGTTGCACCCCGGGGATGGGGGGTTGGAATGGATCCTGCACACTCAATAAATGCTCTCTAAAAGCAATGAGGTATCTGCACCTTCCCTCAGCATGGGAGCTCATGGAGACACAGCTTTGGAAGTGCTCTGGCTTCCCAGCAAGGAGCTCTGTGGAGCACAGGGAAAGCTGTTCAGATCCTTCAGATCAGGTCATGGTGTCAGGGTTTGTCCCAGGATATCAGAATGACCATCACCCTGACCCCAACACACCCTTCCAGTCCTGGTTTCTTCCCAGAGAAACCCATTTCCAATTTTTTGGAATTTTTTCCAATTCCAGTTTTTCTCTGATTCCCTTGTGAGCCTGGCTGGAAGTGCTGGACTGCCCCGAGCCCTTCCCTGCTGTGTGAATCCCACCCAGCTCTGCCTGTTGCTGTATCCCAAGATCTGAGCACTCCAAGGTGGATTCCTTGTGTGGACTTCCCTCTGAAAAGGGAGGAAACTACAGGTTCAGAGGATGATTGCTCTGCTGGGGAGATCTGTGTTTGTCTCTAAACTCTAAAATCACAGTAAAATCAGGGAAAAGAGCACAGGGCTCATGTGGGAGTTGCTCCAAGCCCCATCCAGCCTGGCCTTGGGCACTTCCAGGGACCCAGGGGCAGCCACAGCTTCTCTGGGCACCCTGTTTGGGATCAGCTGAGTTCAAGTTCTCATTTATTCTTCACTCCTTGTAAAATCACACAAAGGTTCCCAAACTCTCCATTAAAAACATCTCCATTTCCAGAGTGCTGACTGAAGGGTTTCTAGACTCACCACCCAAAATTTAACACACGTGTACCTGGCTGGCCTTTCACCCACCCTCACGGCCAAAACTCGTGGAAAAAGCACAGAAACTTTGGCTTTTTGGAATGTCTGTGTGCCTGGGACACGTGTGGCTCCTTGATGTGACAGGTCAGGGAGGGAGGGTGTGGGAATTCTTGAGATCCACAGGAAAAAGCCTGGCTTTCATTAAGCACAGCAGCCTTGGGAGCAGAGGCCACCTTGCCACGGTTCTGCTGTGGAGAGCTGGGAAATCTCTGCAGGGCTGGGAATTGCCAGCAGCAATCCCAGAGCCTGATCCACCCCAGTCCCTGGGCTCAGCATCCTGCAGCTTTTCCCCTTCCTCACTCTGCACCTGAGCCTGTGTAACTCCTTTTTCTCTGGATTTTGGAGTAGCTCCAGCACAGTCTGATCCCAGCACCAAAGTTCCTGGCTTATTGTCTATTCCTTTTTTGTAAACTGCTTTATTTTTTTTCTTCTTGTATAAAATATTAGTTATTTTTTATATGCTTCAAACCCTTTGTTTGCTTTATGTCTCATTCTTGGAGCTCCAGCACAGTGGGATGGACGTTGGTGGGAATGAGCAGGAATGTGCTGGGGAATTGGGGTTGACCCCACTTGGTTTTTAGCTTCTTGGAATTAATTGTTGGCAATCCTTGATCCTGCATGTTTCAGGCTCTGGGAATCACCTGTATTTCAAAGCATTTTAAAGAAGAGGAAAAAATAATGTAAAGAGCATTAATTATTCTGGGGAAATTGCAGCAGTTTTGGCTTTGATGAAAAACTTCATTACTGATTGTTGCTATCAATGGGATTGGTGGGGAGGGTCCAGCATCAATCCAGAGCAGGAGCTGTGGGATGCAAACACCAAAAATTAACTTTTTGAGCAGCTCCGTGGGAGATCCAGACTTTGTCCCAGCAGTGGAAGTCACCCAGCGAGCTCATCATCCCAAAAATGGCTGTAAGGGAGCACAGTCCCTGTGGATCCTTCTGGAGAAGGTGAACAACATTGAGGGAACGGCTTCCCATTGCCAGAGGGCAGGGTTGGGTGGGATAGTGGGAAGGAATTGTTCCCTGTGAGGGTGGGGGGGCCCTGGAATGGATTTCCCAGAGGAGCTGTGGCTGCCCCTGGATCCCTGGAAGTGCCCAAGGCCAGGCTGGACAGGGCTGGGAGCAACCTGGGCTGGTGAAAGGTGTCCCTGCCAGGGTAGAGGGTGAAATGGGATGGGATTTAAGGTTCCTGCTCATCCGAAGGATTCCCTGGGTTGGGTGGTGTCCCGGTGGATCCGGCACTAGAGGGCAGCAGCCCCGCAGGCAGGGATGGGGACAGGGACAGCGGGACGGGACACGGGAGTGCCGCCACCCCCTGCACACCGGGACCCCACCCTGGGGTGCCCCCGGCTCAGCCACAGCCCAGGGGGACTGCGGGACCCGCCCGGCCGAGCCTCGAGGGAGAGGAGGAGTGGAACAAAGCGAGCAGGACACGGGGCTGGAGCTGCAGCCCCGGCGATCCGCAGCGCTGAGCCGGGAGCTGAACCCTGCCCATCCTGCGGGATTTGGGCCGGGAAGGTTGGTGGGAGGAAAAGCCTCTCCCTAAGCAGGGAATCTCACCTGGATCCTGCAAAATCCCTCTTGGCTGGGGGCTCTGGGGTGCTCTGCAGCCAGCCTGTCCCCATGGGCTCTGCTCCGGGACAGGGACATGGACAATGTGACCCCAACCCCAAACCCGCCCCTCTTCCAGCCCTGTGGTCCCTCCCCTGCTGGGGACACCGAGCCCCTGCAAACACACCCCCGCTTCCAAAACCTGCTTTTATTTACATTTCAAGTCAAATCACATGCAAACTCTTGGTTGTTTTTGTTTGTTTTTTTTTTCTTTCCTGTTTTTTCCTTAAGAAGAGTGTGATTAGCAAAAAAGACGCATTATTAGAATTTTCAAATAGCAATTAAATATACAAAAATAGAGCTTACAAAAAAACCAAACAAACAGAGGAAAAAAAAAAAACCAAAAAACCAAAAACCAAAACCAGCGAATGTTTTAAAAAATATTCTGCTGCAGAATTTGTAGTGTACAAACACGTCTATGAGGCTCCACGCTCCATAAACAGTCCCGGGTTTTTCTGGGGAGGGGGGACAGCACCAGGAGCCCCCCCAGCCCTGCCCGGGAAAGCCGTGTAATACTGACACCCCCTCCCCAAGGCCGGGAATGCGCCTGGTGACGATGGCAGGGGACACCCAAAACCCGTGGTCGGAGAGGACAGGGGGTTGGGTGCTTTGGCAAGGGGAACCGCTGCCCGCAGAGCCCCGGGGCCAGGCTGGAAGCGACGGGACCGTCCCAAAGGCCGGGATTTCTGCCTGCCCCCCCCGCCGTGGCTCTCCTGCTGCTGCTGAGGCCAGCACGGTGCCCCTCACAGGAGCTCCAGACCCCTGAGGTAGCCGAGGAGGAGGGACAGCCACCCTCGAGAGGGAGAGGAGGAATCCAAACCCGGGACACCCCTTACAGCCACCCCCGGGGGTGACACCGGGTGCCGAGGGGACACCGACCCGCAGCGCGACTCCAGGGGCGAGACCGCATTTCCTGCCGGGAACCGCGAAGGCAAAGGAACCGAAGGCGAAGAGGAGGGAGCGGGAAGCGGCCGCGATGCCGGGGGCCGCGGCGCTGCTCCGGAGGTCTCTGGGTGCCACCGCGCCGCTCCCCGGCGGCCGCGGGGCTGGGGAAGGGAGGTGCTGGAAGAAGGATGGCGTGCCCAGGATGCCGAGTCCCCTGGTGGCCCTGGCGGAGGATCCGAGCCCGGGCTTCATCCCGGCGGGATTCGGGGCTGCTCAGCTGCGGCCCAAGTGCTTTGGTTGTGTCCGAGCGCCGCGGGCCGGGCCCGGCAGGGACTATACGATGTTCTGGGAGCCGGGCAGCGGCCCCTGCGGCGGGCCCGGGTCCGGCTTGCCGTGCAGCTGCGCCAGCTGCAGCACCGGCATGTTACACAGGGGACACACCTTGCGCACCTCCAGCCACTTGATGAGGCACCTGCGGACACCGGCGACACAGGGCGTCAGTGGGGACACGCCTGACATCACTGGGGACACGTGTGACATCACTGGGGACACACCTGATACAGGTTGGGGACATCCCTGACATAACTGGGGACCCCTGACATCATTGGGGACATGAGTGACCTCACTGGGGACACATCTTACATTGATGGGGACACGCCTGACATCACTGGGGACACGAGTGATATCACTGGGGACACATCAGACATTGATGGGGACACATCTCACATCACTGGGGACACCTGACAGGACTGGGGACACGCCTGACACTGATGGAGATGCGCCTGACATCACTGGGGACATACCTGATACCAGTGGGGACACACCTGATACAGGTGGGGACATCCCTGACATAATTGGAGACCCCTGACATCATTGGGGACACGCCTGACATGACTGGGGTCATGCCTGACACTGATGGGGACACGCCTGACATCACTGGGGACACCTGACATCACTGGGGACACGCCTGACACTGATGGAGATGCGCCTGACATCACTGGGGACACACCTGATGTCAGTGGGGACACACCTGATACAGGTGGGGACACCCCTGGCATCATTTGGGACACACCTGACACCATTAGGGATACCTGACCTCACTGGGGACACTCCTGACACTGATGGGGACCCCTGACATCACTGGGGACCCCTGACACGGATGTGGAGCTGTAAGAATCCCCCCAAGCCCCTCTCCTCTGCCCTGGAGCTTTGCTGCTGCCCAGTTTTTAATTCACCATTTGGGTGCCTTTATGTTTTAATGGGATTTTTTGGGGGGGTTCTCTGTGTTTGTATACAGGGATTTTGTATAGATATGTTTTGTATATAAATTATATATTTATATATTTTAATATATATATTTATATTATATATATATCCATATGTATATATTTTTATATATTTTCTATATATAATATTTATATTTATATTTATATTTATATTTATATTTATATTTATATTTATATTTATATAATAGGGATATAAAAATGCATACACCTACCAAAAAATAAACAAAATAAAAGGTGTCTGTGAAATTATAAACACAGAATCTGCACATAATATACCAATAATCCACTACCATGTATATAATGTGGATGGGTAAATAAAATAAAAGTTATGTAAATAACTCTGACATAATAATACTATTATATATTTTATGTAATCATACTATTATGTATTATATATAATTTTATATGTTATATAAGATGTTATATAATATATATTCAATATATACTATTTAATATATATAATATATACTATTTAATATATTTAATATATACTAAATATATAACTAATATATATTTAATATATAGTTATATATAACTACATAGTTATACATACTATATATACAGTATATATAGTATAGTGTATATGTAAATGTATAAATATGCAAAATATATAATATATAAATATATAATGTATATACAGAGAATATAAAAATAGCTGTAATATATAGATATTTTATATGATGTAGTTTTAGCATATAGAATATTATATAGTACTGTTATATAAAATATTATTATATATAGTAACATAAATTTTAGTGGGTTTGCTTTATATATATATTTATATATATAAATATATAGAAATAAATAATTAAGTAACATATATAAATATAAAAATAATAATAAATGTTATATTAATAAATATTATTATAAAATAAGTATTGTAAAATGAATAAATTAAATCTATATATTTCCATTTTTCATGGAATTACAGACTGCCTTGGAAGGGATCCATGAGGATCACCACGGCCAAGTGCTGACTCAGCACGGGGCACCCTAAAAATTCCACCCCAGCTCCCCCAAGTGTGACTGAGTTTTGCAGCTGCTCCACAGGGCCCAGGTGATCCCAGAGGGGCTTTTCCTGCCCCTCCTGCCCTGGCATGGCCCCACTTACTTCCTGTGGAAGGCATGTTTGCAGGGACAGATCCCCAGCTCGTCCTTGGGCTTGAACTCCTCCAGGCACACGGCACAGATCTGCAGGGTGTGGAATGCACAGGGAATGTCAGGGCTCAGGGGGCAACATTTGCCAATAAAAACTACCAGGTGGCTAAAACCATGGAAATATGGAATGGTTTGGGTTGGAAAGGACCTTAAAAACCACCCAGTGCCACCCCCTGCCATGGGCAGGGACACTTCCCACTTTCCCCGGGAGCTCCAAGCCCTGTCCAGCCTGGTTTTGGACACTGCCAGGGATCCAGGGGCAGCCACAGCTTCTCTGGAAGCATTTCACTCCCCACCCTCATGGGATGAAATTTCTCCTAAAGCCTTCCCAAATTTTGCTGCCCAAGCTTCAGGATCACAGGCTGAGGTTTGGGTCTCCCTTTCCTGCTGGAAGAGGCCACAGACGTGTTGGATCCCAAAGCTGGGATGTGTTTGAGGTTTCAGGGTGCAGGGGATGGACCCACGTTGCTGCCTGGTCCCTGGGACTGGCAGCATTCCCAGGGACACCTCTGGGAAGAGGAAAAGGCCATGGCATTGTTGCCATGCCTGTCCCAGGGCTGGGAAAGCTGCTGGCTGTTTTCTCAGCCAAAACCTCCTTCAACCTCGCAGCCAATTCCTCCTGACTCATCCTGGATATCCCAGGGGATTTTGGATATTCCTGGGTGGTTTTCCAGGCCTCCCTGGCCTGGGATGTCTCAGTGCAGCAGGGCCAGGTGCAGGTGTTGGGGTCACCCCTGAGGAAAACACATCCTGAGCTCCCCCAGGGCCTGGGAGAGGCAGAATGATGGGAAAAGGGGAAAACCAGAGGCAGAGCCAGGGAGGGAAGGGCTGGGTGGGAGCTCTCCCTCCACAGGGCTCCGGGAAGCTGCTCCATCACGTTGGAAAATTCCCACCCCGTCCTCTGCTTTCCAGCAACACTGCCTCCAAATGCCAAAATACAAATGCCCAAAACGGAATCTTTTTGAGCTGAACCCTTCCAGGCTTTTCCAAATCCCAGGGAAGAGCTTGAACAGCTCTGTCCTCTTCCCCACAGAGGCCTCGTCCTCCCCAAAAGCTGGGAGAGCTGCAGACAGCTGGGAACAGAGGTGGAGGAGGAGGGCTGAGCGTTATTGAGGCCATTCCCGGCTCTGGCACATTCCCAAATCCCTCCTCCAGCCCATTTCTCACCCCAGGAAGTGCTTTGAAGCCTGTGTGCCGAAAAAAACCCCACTGCAGGTCGGTTTGAAGGGAGTGGATCAGAAAGAGGGGCCTGCACCAGGGACTGCTCACAACCCCGGGGCCCTTGGGATTTACCCCGGGGGCTGTGGGGAGTGGAGGGTCAGGATAAAACGTGGGATGGGCTCTGCTCAGGGGATTAAAATAAAATAAATAGTGCTTTCGAAACAACTGGAGCTGGTGCTGAGCAGATGAGCAGCCTCGTGCCCGGATGTGGGTGGGCATTTTTGTTATCTCTAGAGGAATAAATAAATCAATCCAGGCTGTGCTTTGACGTGGGATTTCAGCAGATTCCTGCTCAAATTCATCAGGAAAAATGGGCTGTGAATAGAAACGCTCAGGCCCAAAAGGCCTGGAAGGCCATGGAGGTACAGGAAGGTGTTTGAGCCCTCGGGGGCAGGGAGGGAGGAGTGGATCCGCCTCTCCAAGGAGCGGGGATCGTGTTTATCCTGATCTCAGCTCTCCCTGCCCGGAGCTGTGCTGGGTACTGCAGAGTCCCTGCTCAGGGACACTGTTTATACACGGCCCAGACTGCCTCGGCCTCCCCTTATCCACAGTTCTTATCAGTGTGATAAGAAGAACACAATAAATAACAATAACGATGCAGGAAAAGCCAAGGGGAGATGGGAGCGGGGAGAGACTTTAATCCAGACTTTTGCAGAGGATCTTTCCCCATCTCCAAAGTACAGCTGGCTGCATGCTCTGCTCCCAGGGGAGTGGAATTTGGGGTTTTTCCCCCTCCCCAGGGTGAGGAAGAGGGGGGAGAGGGAGCTTTTGTTGGCCCAGGATGTGCTCACCTCATGGAGGTTCAGCTCCTTCACCTTCTCCTTGAGTATGACCTGCAAGGCAAAGAGCTGGGGTCAGGACAGAGCTTCTGCCATCAGCATTCCCAGGAAAAATCTCTAAAAGGGATCCCACTGAGTGTCCCAGTAGAACTGGAAACCCCCCAGTAAACCCAGCACAGCCAGGGAGCACGAGGGGCCCTGTGCAGGGACAGGAGGAGGGGAAAGACAAAACCACAAGGACCAAATCCAGGAGGTTTCCTCCCAAATTTAACCCTCCTGAGCTATCACTTCACTTTCCCTCCATCCAAGCTGAGCACCTGGAGAGGGCTGTAAATGCAGGACAACTGTCTAGGGGTGCTTTCAGCCCAGCTCCACCCAGCTTCCTGCACAGACCAAGGGGTCAGAGGCAGAAAATCCCACAAATCCTGGAAAAAAACAGGACGTGGGAGCAGCAGCCTGACACCTCTGGGCTGTGTTTATTTTAACTCTAAGTGCAGGTGGGTGCAGGGAAGAGCTGGGCTCCCCATGGAGCTGCTCCCTGTGGCTTCAGGGATTTGGAGCAGCCAGATCCAACCCTGGGAGCAGATGCAGACCCCACAAAATCTAAGTTTGGTGACTGGGGGAGTGATGGCATCACTGCTGTGCAGGGGGTGAGGCTGGAGAGCTGGGGGTGCTCCAGAGGTGTGGAGATGCTCCCACTGCTCAGGACCTCAGTGGAAAACTGAGGATGAAAAAAGGAAAACCTGGGGATAAGCAGGTGAGGGATGGTCCTGGGGGGCCCAGCTGGTAGGGGACAATAAAATCAGCAGGGACAGATTGTCCTAGGTGCTACAACTGCCCTTTGAGGGCCAGAAACCTCCCAAGGAGAGGAACAGCATGAGGAAAATTGATGGATTTGGCACTAGGGAGGAGGGAAGGGGAAAAAAAAGGTTAGAGGATCATCTCACCTGTTTGTAGGCGTAAAGCTCTTTGTGTGCCTGATGCCTGAGCCTGCAATGAAAGCAGGGAGAAACGTGAGGTCAGGCAAAAAAATCAGGATTATTGAAATACCTCAAACATTCCACGTCCCTCCTTTCCAGCTTTAACATGCCATATTTTACATTTTTGATTTCAGAAATGAGAATGGCCACAGGAAATGACATGTTTAGGCAGCATCCAGCTTTCCCTGTTGCTGGCAGGGCAATGTCTCCATCCCAATGCACACAACTCCTCCCTTATCCCTCTTTTGACCTCCCTGATTTTCCAAGCACACATCAACCACATAGTTAGGAGCAGAAAAAGTGGGTGAGGAAATCACAGTCTGCCATAAACCCCCTCAGTTTTCCAACCACTTCTGCTGGCAACACTTCCAGCACTGAATGCAGCACCATTTTCCAAGGCATGAGGAAAGCCCTGCTCCCACTCCAGCAGGGACAGGGAAGGACACCCTGCCCAGAGGTTTCCCACCAAAGCCCCCATCATGCTGCTTGGGTGACACTGGGTTCCTCAAACACAGCTTAATCCTCAATTCCAAGATCAATCAAACCACATCCACTCCTGGAGCAAAGTGAGGGATGGAGATGAATGGGATGGGCCTGCTCCAAGAACACCTGCTGCAGTGGGATGTCCAGCAGGAATTTTAGGGCACAAGCAAAGTGCTGGTTCCATCCCCTCCCTCCCTCCCCAGCCTCTCCTCTCCAGAGTCAGAGCCAGCAGAGTGCTCCACAGGCATCTGCTGGCTGGAGAAACCCATTATGCTCCTAAAATAAATACACTTAAAATTAAAATAACCAATATTGCCTCTCATTACCAGACATGGCATTTAATAAAGTGCTTGGAAAACTCAGGAGGGAAGTCCCCAGGGCTGAAGAGTTGGCCAAGGACTTTCAATACAGACTCAATATGTGGCTGCAGGGCTTGGAGAGCCATTGGAATATTTTCCACAACCAGCCCCAAGTGATTTCAGATGGGAAACCCCCTTGCCTGGAATTTCTATCCTGCAAAAATAATTTGAGGGCTGTCTGAAATTCCTGACTGCTTCAACCTGAGCTTCTGGGGGTTTTCCAACGTTGCCATGCTGTAGTGGGGGAGACGTAAAAATGGCATGGAAAAAGATTTCCTTATGTCTGCCACCCTCCCCCAAAATATTGTGGGCCTTAGAAGGTGAGGGATGGGTAAAAATGCACCTTAATGCTGCAGAGAGAGATGCACAAAGCTCCTGAGTCCCAAATCTCACGGGGAGCCATCCCTCCTGCTCCAGCAATGCTGCCTGGCAGGAACCATGGAAAACACTGCAGCAGGCAGGGAGGAGGAGGAGAAGAGGAGGAGGAGGAAGAGAAGGAGGAGGAGACTGGGGTCTCATCCTTCTGGCAGTGACCTTGAACAGAAACATGAGCAGAAGATGCAGGAACAATAGAGGGAACAGGATGAAACCGGCCCAATCCGCAGGGATCCGGCGGCTGGGAAGGCGCTTATGAAACACAGATGGGGAGAAGCGAGGCCACAGGCAAGGGAAAACTCGCCTGGAATGGGAAGCAGCATCCCTCTGGATGGAGCACTGAGTGGCCACCAAGGGTCTGAGCCACTGGAGCACCTTGGAGCAGTGGTGGGGAGGAAGTGACCACCTGGCTGTGGAAGCGCAGATCTGCAATGCCCTGGGCTTGTGCTGAGCTAGACAGGGAGATTTTCCCAAAAAAATTCCTCCCTGGAGGTACTGGGGAGCAGCACGAGCACATCTGGTGGCGAAGCGTGCGAGCTCAGCCTGCTCCTCCTTGCTCTCTGAGCCAGGATCCTGGGCCAGATGGATGCTGGTGGGGCAGCTGTCGTGAGGAGACCCCGGGTCCTGGCAAGCGCTATTCCCTGTGGGAGCAGGCTCCATCCATCTCGTGTCAAGTGCTGTGACTCCCGAGGAATTCCTGGCAGATGTCTGCCCGAGATAAGGGACCACACAGTGCCTGGCTGCTGATCCTGTGTGCTGTCACCCTCCCTGAAGGAACAACTGCCTCTCTGGGGCTTTGGGATCTCTTCCTGCAGGAGTGGGAGCTCCCTGCTTCTCTGCGTGACTGAATCACCTACAGCACGTGAACAACCATGGGGATAAAATGCAGAGGAAAAATGTTTTGCAGGTTTACCTCTGAGGTTTCCATATTAGATGCTTTATAGTAGAAGAAGAAGAAAGGCCCTGGGCACTGGCTTTTTATCCCATCACTGTGTTGCTGTCCCCAGCTCAGCCGGGCTCCTTGGGCTCTTCATGGAATCCCAGAATCGATTGGGTTGGAAAAGCTCTCTAGGATCATCCAGTCCCCCAGCACTGCCAAGGCCACCACTAATGCATGTCCCTAAGTGCCATTTGGGTTGGAAAAGCCCTCTAGGATCATCCAGTCCCCCTTCACTGCCAAGGCCACCACTGACCATGTCCCTAAGTGCCACATCCACATGGCTTTTAAATCTCCCTCGGGCTGGGGACTCCCAACACTGGAGTCCAGCTGTACCAATGCCTGACTGCCCTTTCCATGAAGAAATTTTCCTCATATCCAATCTAGATCTTCCCTGGCCCAGCCTGAGGCCGTTCCCTCTCCTCCTGTCCCTGTTCCCTGGGAGCACAGCCCAACCCCCCCTGGCTGTCCCCTCCTGTCAGGAGCTGTGCAGAGCCACGAGGTCCCCCCTGAGCCTCCTTTTCTCCAGGCTGAGCCCATTCCCAGCTCCCTGAGCCACTCCTGGGGCTCCAGACCCTTCCCCAGCTCCATTCCTTTGTCTGAACACAAAACCCAACCACTGTGTTGGATCCTGGCAGGTCTGAATGCAGCAGGAAACAACCCCCCAAGAAAAAAAAAGGCTTTTTAGGTGCTGTGTACCCTGAGCTTCCCAGAGACTTTGAGCTGCTCCAGGCTGGGCAGGGATGAGCCCTGGATGATCCACAGCAAAGCACAGAGAGAGGATGCTGCAGACTTGACCCACAGCAAGGGTGGCATTGCTCAGCTCAGCATCCTTCTGGACTGGGTTTTATGGGACCAAAGGCAACATCAGTTTATCACTTTCATTAATTCAGCACAGATCAGACACAACCAGCTGCCTGCAAAATCTCATTTCCTTGTTCCTTTTTTATCTGCAATCTTGCTGAGCAGAGGCAGCAGCCATGAGGGACCTGAGCTCTGACCTGAGTGGTTTGCAGCACCAGAAAAGCTCAGGTTCACCTGAACAATACACAGGCAATGATGATTTTTGTTGTGAAACTGGACTCTTGTTTTGAGCCAATCCAATTAAAAATGTCATTTTTCCTTCCCCTGGAGCAGGCAGCACAGCTTGTATTGACACAAATGCAAAGCACAGCCCATGTCCTCTCCTTCCCCAGCACATCTTTTATTTAATGCCATCAGCTCTGTGATTTGGGGTGAATACACCTCATATTGGCTCTTCCACACTCTGGATGCCTCCCCAGCTGGGGATTCAGGGAGAGCTGCAGGGGCTGCTCTGATCCAGAGCAGGAAATGAGAACCAGGGCCTGAGGATGGTGTCATGAGCCTTGCTTGGTGTTTGCCAAATATTTGGAGATTATGGGAATGGAGGGAGAGGAAGGGCTGTGTTGATGCTGCACCTATGGGAAAGCCAGGAGCTGCTGTGACCTGCAAAGAACCCCCATGGATGGAAGCAGAGCCCTGGAGCTCTGGAGGGGACCACCCTGTCCTTCTGTTGATCTCTCTGCTCTTGCAGGTGGGTGGTCCTCATCCTGTTGTCCACCTACAATGCTTCCAAAATTCAGACTTTTATATCCCAGATGAGCTGAGATTACAGAGCAGCTTCCGTGGAGGTGGAGGCTCCTGGGACACTGGCACAGCTAAAACCCACGGCACAGCAAAACCCTCCCCAATGGGGGCTGGAGGATCCTGTTTTGGTTCTCTTCTGCCAATAAAAGAGCTGAGGGAGGAGGGCTGAAGAGCCATTTGTAGAGTCTCTCTAGGGTTTTGGGCTATAAAGGGATCACTGGATGACCTAATCCAACTCCACATCTATCATGGGTTGCTAAATAGCACCTCAGGAACAGGAGCCAAGGCGTCTCGTCCAGAAAGGTCCTCGCTCTTGATTTAAAGACGTGAGGAGACTGAGCACTTGCCACTTCCTTGCTGGCTTCCCTCACCGGTTACTCACCCTCTCTCTCTTACAACACGCCTCCAGCTTCTAAATTTAAAGATTTTCTGGCTTGACCTTCCAGACATTACTCCTTGTTATTCCTTCTTTGGGGCATAACACACCCAGCGAGTGCCCAGGAAAATACTCTCAAAGTCCAAAACTCTGCAATTTTCTAAGTGAGCCATATAGACTCGAGCTCTACCTGAGCAAAACAAGTCCTTGAGCCCTCTGAACACCTCTGATCTATTTTCATACACATTCAAAACACAATTTTCATAATTGTGGGGAAAAAAAAAAAGATATGATGCCCAAGCAGCCCCAATCACCCTTGGTAAACCTGGGTTTGGGCTCATCTGCATGTTTGATGAGGTTTTGCTTCATACAGAACTGAAAATGGGTGGGAATTATGAAGTATTTAGAAGGTAGATACTGAAATCTCATTTTCCTGGTCTATAAGAGCAGGATAAGATATTTCCAACACCCTTTGGATAGATAACCTGGTGGGACTGGCTGCTGTGGTGCAGGGAGAGACTGGGTACCAGGGAAGGGATGTGATGGATGCACAGCTTGCAGGGAGCTGGGGCCAGCTGGAAAGACAGAGGGGAAGGAAAGGGGATGGAAAAGTTGCAGAGGAGAGCTGTGGGAATGCAAAATTTTGGGTACCATTGCTGGCAGAATGATGGCCTCTGCTCCCAGGCACAGGCTGAAGCACAGCCAGCCTCCATCTTGGGTTATCAGCACAACTCATCTCCATCACCACCTCAATGCTCAGGCACTGGGGTTTTTGCCCACTTGCTTCATTTTCCCTCTGTCAGGAAGAGTTTCTCCTCTCAATTAGCAGCCCAACAATCTCCCCAATGGCCCATAAAATAATTAAAACAAGCCCCAAACTGAAACAACCTTTAACCCTGCCATCCTGCTCCCCCATTGCTCAGATTAACACATCAACTCTGCATCATTAATCTCCAAACTGTGCCGTTGAAGGAGCAATTTGTGTTCAATAAGCAACGGAGCAGGTATTAAACATTCCTTAGGCACGCAGGACACGAGTTACTCATTACAGAGGGAAATGTGTTGAAACATTAAGCAGAAAGCAGGGACCATGAAACATCCCTTTCCAGGATTTCTGAGAAGCTGACCACAATTCCATACCTTTATTAGCAAATGTCTATCTCCTGGTTTGAAGTGGATAATGTGACTGCTTTGTGGGGCATCAGGTTGACATAAGATGTGTCAAGGAAATAAGGTGCTGCCATCCTCTTTTTGGGATGGAGGGATCAGTGGTGGGCCTGCAAGTAGTGGAACATTCCCTTAGAATATTCCCTTACCTGATCAAGTAGCAACAGAAGAGCAAGCTGAGGATGAAGACGAAGATGGCTGTGCCGAAAACCACGATGTATATGTTGAGAGGAAGGTTCTGGAACCCGATGTTCGGCATCCTGAAACTGTAATGCTGGAAGTCTGAGCTCATGGGTAGGCTGTGGAGACAGGGAGAAAACACAGGGATGTGACATTCCTGAGGAATGCACTTTGCAGACCAGTGGTCCTTGAATGGATGTGGAGGGGGCTGGAGATGACTTCTCACTCATCCCCTCCTCCTTGCCCAAAACCAAGTTCCCATCTTGGTAACCCTGAAAACAAAGCAGGGCTGGATCAGCTGGGGTTGGGATTTTCCTTCTCCCACTGTGAGCTTCTCCTCCAGCTCTTTTCCTTTCACACATCATCCTCCAAGTTAAACACTGGATGAGATGGACAGTGGGAATTGCATCCAAGCAGCCCCAGCTGCAGCCAGCATCCCTCAAACCCCACAGTGACTTGGTAAAAATACTGAAAGCAGCCAGGAAGCCTTGGAGCAAGTTTGCCTTCCCTTCCCCTCCAGTGGTTTTTCAGACTGACTCCTCATTCCATAGAAATCCACCACCAAAATCATCAAAGATGAAAAGGAAGAGGACAAGGACATTCCCAGGACACACAGCAGTGCCTCTGAGAGGAATTATGGGGAGACTGTGGACTCTGTAAAGCAGGCTTTGTTTGTTTCCCCATCTGAGACACAGGTTTGGTGGTTCAAGAGCACTTCTGCAGGTTTCAGCTTCACTCCTCAGCACAGCCCCAGGCTCCTTCCCCCCAGGAAAGCCCCGAGGCACCAGCGAGAGACAGCCAAGAGGAAGAGGCAGCAATTTTGGCTGTCATATCCCACGTCTGGGACCCGTGACCAAAACCTCCCTCCCCTTGGAGAGCCCCAATTAAACCCCGAGCAGCTGTCTGGGATATAACAATTCCAGCAAATCCTCTCCCCCAGGATTTTAATTGCTCTTATTTATTATCTCTTATCTTCCTCTCATTCTCTGAACCGTTCACCCTCAGATGATCACAACCGTTGCTGGCTGGGCATAAGGTTCCCCTGCCCCCAGCTTAGGAAAGGAAGTTAAAAATACACCTTGTTTTCCCTTCTGCCCACAGGAGAGCAACGTGCAATGAAGTTTTACAAGCAAGGAAAGTACCTGCAGTCTGAGCCCTGTTTCCCAAATAAAATCACCGAGGGATAACAAAACCCTCCCCTGGAGCGGGGAGTTTTCCACGGCGCAGTAATTGCACAGCTCCTCATTTTGCACAGGGTGGGAAGACGGTGGGGAAACCGCAGGATCTGAACCCACACACGCCAGGGAGCAATGCTCCAAAATCCAAGTGTCCTCACTCACAAATCTTTCCCCCTTGAGGCCCCCTTTTTACCAAACCCTGTGGGTTTTCCTCTGACTTCCCACGGGGAGCAGACTCACCTCTCATCCCGGCTGCCTCACCGGGACTATCCCCTTGCTGAAGGCAACATCCCTGCCAGCCCCGGGAGCCTCCCTGCTCCGGCTGCTTTCAGTTTCCTCAGCTCGCTGGAAGTTTCAAGGCGATTTCTGGTAAAGCCTGGATTTGATTAAAGCCTCCAGAGACCAACACGCATGTTCAGAACCTCTCCTGGCCAACGTGGAAACGCTCTGAGAGCTCAGGGAGCCGGCACATCCCCCTGCCAGCGCTGGTGGGGATGGGATTTTATAGCCCAGCAACCACCCGGCAGCTCACGCTGCTCCACCGACGCCTGTTCCGCTCAGCTGAGCTGGTTTGCTTTGCAAATAAATTTTAAAAAGCCCAATCCAGCCCCCAAACCTTTGTTCCCAGCTCCGGCGGAGTTAATGCGCAGCTCGGCGTCGCAGGGCTGCGTTTGGGTTCCAGTCCCGCTGGGTCAGAGGGATTTGGGACAGGTCAGGGGCTCCCCTCGGGCATGGCATGAGGATGTTTCAGCTGGAGGATGCTGCCCCACCTCACCCTTGGGTGATAATCACTGCCTTTGGCCAAGGTTGGCTGCCTCCAGCTCCTCAACCACCCCAGAGAAACCTCCTCAGTCTGGGAGAGCTCCAGGTGACTTTTTGCAAGGAAGGAGAAACAACTCTTGGAGGACAAAACCACCCAGCACTGGACTGCAGCTTTTCTTTCCTTTACAATTATTTTAACTTGTGATGCTCTTCTCAGCAATCCCACTAAGAGATTCCGTGGGTAAGGAACAACCAAGGCTGCATTTGGAGCAGCAAATCCCATCAAGCCAGAAAAGTTCCTCGTGCACCTGAGCTGTGCTGCTCTTGCAGCAGTCCCCACATCCATGAGCACAGCTAGGAACCATCACAGCCCTCAGCAAATAAACAGGCAGCAGAAACAGAGCTCAGACCAACCCCCAGCACCCCACTATCCTCTCCAATGGAACCATTTCCCTAATATTTTGCCCCAAAGGGTGTCATGAATGCAGCCATGACCTACCTGCCAGCCATGTCGTGGTGGCTCAGCCTCCTGGGGACAACCTTTCTGTCCCCTGTGGTGCAAATCCAGGGAATCCCACACCAGATTCATCCAACCCCCGTGTGAAATAACCTTCTCCACATTGGAGCTGCTGCCCTGGTCCTCCCTCCCTCCTGCTGCAACAGCTGAGAAACGTTACAGCAAAAAACAGGGAGGTTAAAGGGGAAAAATCACTTAGTCTGCCCAGGATCCAGGAAACTGTTAACTTTAAAAGACTCCAGTGAAATCTGATGATTTCAAGCAGCCAAGCTTTGGGGTTGTTTTTTTTTTTTTTTAAGGGGAGTGGGCTGGAGGAACTTAAGCTGCTTCAGATTTGCAAGGGCTCAGCCAAAAGAAATAAAAAAGGAGCCATAAAGAAGGATGAAAAGTTTCTGGTGTAGAACAAAAGCCTCCCTGTTGCTCTCTCCATGGTCAAGGCATCTCAGAGCAGGGAGATGATGCCTGTGGGGCATCCATGGCCCCCAGAAGGTCCCTGAAACCCCTGGGATGGGGACACAGGCTGCACATAGAAAAGGGGGCACTGGCACAGGTTGTCCAGAGAAGCTGTGACTGCCCCTGGATCCCTGAAGTGCTCAAGACCAGCTTGGATGGGGCTTGAAGCAACCTGGGATAGTGGAAGGTGTTCCTGCCCATGGCAGAGGGGTGGAATGAGATAAGCTTTAAGGTCCCTTCCAGCCCCAATCACTCCATGATTCTGCAATTCCATGATTCTGTGAAAAATAGCAAGGAACAATGGCTCCTTGTCCTGGGATATAGAGAGGCACACATGGCAGAACAACCTGAGCTCCCACATCTCCTTCCTTACACCCTCCAATGACTCAGCAACGTGGGGCCAAGCACATCCACATTTCTCCAAGGAGGACAAAACCCAGCTTTAATTAAAAGCCAAAGCGCTGGTTAATGGCCCATCGAGCAGCCAAGGAAGGGAGTGTCACAGGTCAGCCAGCTCCAGCGTGGCAGGGCTGTGATTACAGTTGGGCTGTGAAAGGTAAACCTCACCAAGCCACGTCCCTAATTAATCCCCATTAGAGCAAATTAAATACATGGGGCCAACCTCGTACCCAGAGAGTTCCTCAGGAGATCTCACAGGGATTAATAAAGCATGCAATTGTCTTCTCATAGGTAGAGAAACTGAGGCAGGGAGGAGGAGGGAAGCCAGGAGGTGACACCAGGGATTCCATTTAAAGCAATGCCATGGGTTGAAAGCTGCAGATTTTTGCTTCCCTGCTGCTTTGCCACATAGATTGGAACATGTGCTCCTTCTTGGGGTTTTACTTATTAAAAGGAGCTGCTTGTCCTTTTTCAAAAAAATTATTATTATTTATTTATAATAAATAATATTTATCAGTGCATAAAGGGGCCATGCATCCTCACACCTAAATACAGCCCACATGCTGGGTGGAGCAGTGGCTTCTGCCTCTGCTGTTGTAAATAAACTCCTGTTTTTAGAGGGATTTACTTTATGTTTTCAAGACAAACAACTTTCTCCACAGGGGTTCAAAGCAAACTCAGACTGAATCTCCTCAGCCATTAACTGGATGGAGCTGGTGGTCTGGGCATCCCACCGGCCAGGCTGGCAAAGCCAACCCATCTCCAGGAAACACTGAGCTTCAAACACCCAGCAGAGCCAGACACAGGCAGCCCTGAAATCACGAATCTCAGGGAAAAGTGAATGCTAAGCCGTGGCCAAACTCCAAGCTGGAATATTTTATCGATGGGAAAGGTTTCAAGCGGGCGTGAACGGCGTCTCGAGTTTCAAAGGCGTTTCGCAACGTGTTTCAGACAGGTTTAACCAAAAGCGTTATTAACTGGTTGAAAGTTAAACTGGGAGCAGCTGACAAGACCTTTCTGAAACAGCCCAAGCTGTGTTGCAAAGCAGGGTATTCTTCCATGGAATGATTCTACAAGAGGAAGGTTATTTAATGGCTGTGACCAACGGGATAATATTTAAAAGAAAAAGATTCTTCCAGGTGTTAAGAAGCAGCAGCCAGAGACGCCCTCGTTTAACTTGCAGGCAAAAAATCCCCCTCGTGGACCCCAAAAGCAAAGTGAAGCCCTGACCTCAAGCAGCTGGAAGGAATTTCCTTCAGCTCTGTCTCTGGAGCTGGTCCAGCACCAGGATCTGCAGCGTGGCGATGGGAAAATCACAGGCAGCTGCAGAGCCAGCCCCAAACCAGCACCACCGTCACCCCAGAGATGCCACACAGCTGCATCATGGAGCAGGGAAAAACTCAGTGCTGCTCCAGCCAGGGGTGATGGCCTTTGCTGTCCAAAACCAAGGAACAACATGAGGTGAAAACAAAACCTCTTGGCATGATGCAATTTCAAAGAGCTACAGTGCTACCATGGGGATGCCACATCCAGTGCCAGCTCCGAGCATCCAACCTGGCCCAGATCCTTCACTCCACAAACCTGGCAGGAAATGGAGGAGCGTGAGGGATGGTGCAAGGCTTGGCAGGGTTATTGATTAGGGAAGAGGGAACATCCCAACAGGTCCCTCACACCACAGGCACAGCTGTACCAGGATCCAGCAAAGCTTGGCTGCGGTGATGCGGCACCATCACAGCAACAGAAAGAACTTCTGGGTGTCAAACAGTACAAAAACCCATTTGTTTCACCCATTTTGGCTGCCTGCAGGCTTGGGGTGCTGGTGGGTTTTTGTTGTGTGCCTGGACATCCAAGGAACCAAACTGACCTCCAAGCACAAAGGGCTTCGGACCTTTGATCCCTCCTCCCCGAGAGCGGATCCCATGCTTTTTTTGAACTGGAATCAGGAAATTTCCTGGCTGTGTTCCCCAGCTGGCTGACACCAAACACAAAACCTTAACCCTCTCCATTGCCTCTGGGCAGGGGACACAGAAAGTGATGTGACAACACAACAAAGCAATTGGAAAAAAATAGGAAAGTCTAAGGAAAGCAACATCCGGCAGCACGACTGAACTGCTGCAATTTCCAGCAAGTCCTTCTGATTCCAGGCAGTTGAAGAAACAATTAATCCCAGAACTGTAAAACTGAAGAGAACCTTTAAGTGGAAAAATATTTTTGCTACCACTGGCAGAGAAACGTGCAGAAATGGGTCAGCTGCAGCTCCCATCACCCACTGTAAAGTCAAGTTCTTTCTCCCAGCGCCGCTGGAAAAGCAAACCAGAGGTTTGCTCAGGGCTGATTTTGCAAGTTCCAGGAATGGCAAAAATAAATAGAAAAAAAAATAAAATCAATAGCACGATTTAATACAGTCTGGAGGAGGGAGAAGCAGAGTTTGGAGGAAAGCCCTGTTTGAGCTCCCATCAGGAAGGAGAGCTGAGAATCACTTCCCAGGAGGGTTTGAAACAGAGCTGGCAGCGCCTCTCTCGGAAAGGCTCACACGAGCTGCCCAAGGACAGCTCAATTCACTGCCTGGAGATGAAATAACACTTGAGGAATTTTTCCCCTTTGGCCTTGGGGATTTGTAATTATTTTCCCCCCCTTTTCCTGGCATGCAGTTCCAACGTCATAACCTGGTGAGCTCACTCTTCCTCTCAAAAGTGTGGTGGGAAAGGATGTGCTGCTGCCTCCTCCTGCCCCCAGCCCTCTTTGTACTCCTGAGGTGAAAAGAGGAGGCAGGAGCCATCCCTAATGGTGGTGGGACACACATTATTAAATTTGGGTGTATTTTAGCCCAAAAAGAGCAATGAGAGCACAGGCAAGTGGGAATAATCTCCCATCTTCATTTGTGGTAGCTTTTTCTCATTCACAATGCTCCCCAATAAAGACATTCCTTGGGGAACACAAATTGGAAACTACCTGAGAAACACTCAGCCTACACAGCTGAAGGGTCAGAGAAGAGGAATTGGTGTTAAACACTCCAGGGAATCTGAAATTTCCTGGGTGATGACACAGAGCTGTGGGAAGCAATGGGGACTCCCAAAATATCACATCTGGAAGAAAAAAAAAACAACATCCCACTTTGATCAAGTCATCTTCAGGCTGAACCAAAACCAATCACTTCCCGTGGAGCCAAAGACCAACTTGCCCTCTCCACTCTAATACTGAGAAGCAGATGGATTAAACAACTCCCTAAAACCCTTTTCCCCCCATTTCCTAAGCTCCTTTAATGAAGGAAGAAAATAATGATCAGTGCAACACACAGGGATCAATAACCCTACAAAGCCCTGCTGGAGATGAGCACCCTGAACCAGTGATGGGATCACAGCTGCCAGCAGCATCCTATAAAGGCAGTTGGAGGAGCCAATCACAATTTGGGAACAGGAAGGCAGAATGATCTCCTTGACACTAAATAAGGTTGCTAGGTTATGGATTTTTGTGAGGGGGGGCATAATCTGAAAGGGGATCCAGATGGCTGTAAAGCCTTGTGGTAGAAAAGCAGCATGAGGCCAGAGAGGGAAGAATTCCTCTTTATGCTGCTGTTGTCTGCTCCTGGATCCTGCGTTTCAGTTCTTGGGAATGCACTCTGTGGACCCTTTTAATTGCACCATTTATATTTGAGATAAAAATTAAGAAGAAGAGATAGGTGGATGGAGAAGAGTGAAAAAGCTGGTGACTGGATACTGGGGAAAAAAGTCCCTAAACAAATCCCACGGAGCAGCTATTCCCCCAGGACCCCTTTGATCCAGCCAGGTTTGTATTTTACAACCCTGACAACCTGAAAAAGGCTTCAGGAAAATCCAGACAATCCCAAACCCTGCTGAGAATTCACACCAATGCCACGTCACTGCTGTTTCCAATTTTTCCTAATACTTTCAAAAAATGAGCTGCACAGACAGTTCACCCTTTCCTGGTTTTGACCCAAGTACTGGGATTTAGGGGAGCATTTTTTTTTATCATTCCTTCTCCCTTGCTAAAATAGACTGGAATGGTTTTGCAACACTTTATAGAGTCCAGCAAAAAAACCTCCTGGGAGTCATATGGAAACAGGACAAAAACTGCTTCACCTCTATGGGACTAGCACAATAAAGATGGCTGCAAGGATGGAAAACCCCTCAAAATTTAGGTGGGAAATGGAAAATGGAACTTTTCCACAGCCAGACTTGCACAACCAAGTGAGGTGCTTGGAGAGAAACATTCACCAACCAAGAGATTCCTCTCCTCCTCTGTCAGAGTCTCAGCACCAAGGGTGATGCCATGGGATGTCATCCTTTTTCCCTATTCTTCTGGAATTGTGGCCTGACCTTAGTGAGGTGCAGCAAATGAAGGGATCTTAGTGAAGCACTGGCACAGGTTGTTTAGAGAGGATGTGGATTCCCCATTCCTGGAAATGTTCAAGGCAAAGTTAGAGCAACCGGGTCTAGTGGAAAGTGATCCTGCTCATGGCAGGGTGGTGGAATGAGATGGCCTTGAAGGGCCACTCCAACGTAAACCTTTCCATGATTCTGTCATTCTAAAATCCAGGTATACCCATGCCCCAGGGGTCTGTAACCAGGAGGTGATGGACAACCAAGTGTAAATTTTCAACAGCACCTGCCCACAACCCCTTCTTTGCCCAGGGATGCTGCTTCTTACAGGGGCTCCTCATATATTGAGCCCTAAGTAAGCAAAATCCCAATTTACACTGTGCTCCTGATGCACAACTTGTTAAAAAAAAAAAAGCAAGCAAACCAAACACCTTTTGTGAGTTACTTAAAATTTACATTTTTCTTGCAAGTGACTGAACAAAACCTGCTAAATATTTTCCGAATGCTTCAAGGCTACAAAGCCAAAAACCACCAGTGGGAATTTCAGGCGTGTAACAGTTTACTGTCGGATCTCCACGAATCCCCGGGTGCTGAATCGCCTACTAGAAGGGAAAATATATGAGTGGCACTAAGGAGGTGGCTTAGCAACGAGCAGGCTGGCAGCTTTGAGTGGCTTTTTAAAGGTCAAGAGAGAACACAATGTCTGGAGCCCTCATGTTCCTTTTTTTTACTACAATTTAATGATATTTCTGGCCAGCCCGGTTGTTAAATCGCCACCTCGCACCAGCCAGCCACACATCTGTTAAACCCAGGCTTTAAATTAAGATTTTTCCCTCCTAAATACCCCCTTTCAACCCATTCTCACCTTCACCAGCATGGAGAGGGGGGGGAAGCTTTATCGGGATGAAACACAAGGAGAGGTCCCACCACGGAGGGGATTTCTGGGAGGTGCTGCTGAGCAGCATCATTGAAATTCGGCGGGAGAAGCCAGTTTTCCTCGGCTCTGCGGGGGCTGCCATGTTAAATCACATTTGGATTCACAGTACAAGGCTGCTAAAATACCACCGCGGCGCCTATTGGCACATTTCAATGAAAACGCCGTGGCCTCATTAGTAGAGTGGAAATTATGAGCTTGTCTTTGTATATATTTAAAAGCTCTCCTCTGAAACTCTACTGGGTTGGGGCCAGGAATTCCTGGCTCTGAGCTCCTACCACTCGGCAGTTCGGGATCGCTTTGCTCACACAGGTCAAGCGACCACGCAGCCATCGACCCGGGAGAAAAGGCATTTAAAAACTGCCCTGAGGGGAGAGGCAACAGGGTTTGAACTAAACCCTCCTCCCTGTCAGCTCCCTGTGAGCTGGTTAGGGAGCAAGTCCTAATGAAAGTGCAGGTTGTAATTAAGAGGACGCAGGAATGTGGGTGTGTGGAGTTTCATCCTGCTCCCAACAGTTGGGGTGAGAGCATCCCGTCGGCTCAGAAGTGCCGTTCCACTCTGGGGATGGACCACAGAAACCCAAATTCTTTGAAATGAGGGGCAAACTCGTGAAATAACGCTTTTTTTGGGGGATCTGATCCTCTCAAATGGGAATTTGCAAGTCTCTGTGAAGGAAAACTTTGGGCTCAGCTCCCTACTTACCTGCACGGGCGCCGCAACGCAGCCAAGCCACGCAAACCCAACGTATCTGCTTGGACAGCTACCGTGGTTTGGCACCAGGGATGCTGGAAGAAAAGAGAAAAATACCCTAAAAATTGCACAAAAATCCAGAAGGAGCAAGGGAGAGGATGAAGACATGGTTTTTAAATGCTTGGATTCGCAGAGGCTCCCAGAAATTGCTTCAGCTCTTGGTAACAGCACAGAAATCCCCATTTAAAACGCGGCGATGACGTTACGTGGCATAGAAAGAATGGGGGGGAAGCTTGGCTAATCCTCACAATTTTATAAGCATCTGAGACACTAATCCCTTGATCTCATTGAAAGGGATTAGAATTACTCCCTTGCCAGGAAATTTAAGAAGTTTTCTACCAGATGTAAACAAAAGCACGGAGCAGCCCGCAGAGATGGCTGCCACACAGCGAGTCCTCACAGAGAAATCTGCATCTGGGATGGTTTTGGGGTGGAAAAGGGGGATTTCCAGCCCAGTGCTGCAGAGGGTTGTCTGGAATGATGTGGGTATCCAAGACAAGCCTGATCAGTTCATCCACAGTAGGCTCAAGATAAGATCCCATCCTGGGCAAGCAACCTGCCAGGGCTTCACAACTCATCTCTGATGGGCTCCAACTCTTAGGGAAATGGATGCTTCAGCTAAAAAAGAAATCCATCCCTATCACCTGACTTGTTCTGCATTGGCTTAGGAAAACATCATTTTAATAATAAGAAAAAAGAGAAAAATCTCTGAGCAACAAAACCCAAGTTGTGCCCAGCTACACAGTAGCCTTCATCCACACAGCTCTGTGGTAAGGACCTGGGTTAATAAGGAAAATATAACATGGCACCCTCATGGAAACAGATTGGGATCTGCTCCTGCCCTCACAATGAGTGATTCATAATATGGAAGAATAAATTATTTGATTTAGAAGATGAAACAGGCAGTGTGGGGTTTGATCTCAAGCAGTTTGCTACTAAGTTGGATGTGCCAGCTTAGAACATCAATTAGCTGAGATAAATCAAACCTAAAAGAAGCAGAAATGATTCAAGGGATCCTTTGGAGAGGAAAAGCAGAAAGGATTCAGGGGATCCTTTGGAGAGGAAAAGTAACTTTGTTAGAAAACAGAAGTTTTCTAAGAAAGAAACGAAACTTTTGTCAGTGCTTACTTCTTTCCTCTTTTAAATTCCATCAAAAAAAAAAACCTAAAGAGGCGCAAGTTCCGACCTCGGTATAAACAAGGCCCCAATTTCATCAGCTTGTCTTAAAACCCCTCCTTTTGGAGGTGCCTGAAAGGATGGCAGCAGAATCCCTCTTCTCCAGCCCATTTTTCTGCAGGACATATAATTTTTAGTCTTTAGGCACAAATTTTCTCTTGGCTTTGGAAGAACACCACCATCCCCACTGCAGTCCCATCTCCCAACTCCCTGCAACACTCCTGCTCCCAGCTTTAGCACAGAAGGCTGGAATAAACCACCTGATGCCAGGCTTGTCTGCAGCTTCATCCCTCTCCCCTGGCTGCAACACATCCCAGACCTTTCCCACCACCTCCTCGACCTGCTCTCCTGCTGCATGGGGAAGGTGCTTCAGGAGGAGGAGGACACAAGGAGGAAGCCCCAAGAACGGTCAGAATCACACACAGCTCAGCATCCCTCAGGCAAAGCCATACTTGAGAAAATGATCAATTTTTCCTGCTTTTACTCCCAAAGTGCCGCCCCCAAACAACACTTAACAAAACAGTGAGGGTCTTTTGGTGTGAATGCCAAGCAAGACTGGGGTGCAGGGCTCAGCTGACAGACACCAAACCCACACGAGCACCACCAGACAGGCTCCAGCCAGCTCGTCCCAGTTTATTCAGCCCTCAAACCACCCAACATCACACAGTCCCATCCCACTTCAGATGGCCACCACCGACACAGCCTCCAAAAACCTTATCTTTTATCTCACACGCCACGAGAGCAAAACACCGGGTCTCATCCAACACTTCTCAACCAAAAAGCTAAAGAAAAACCCCAACCCCGCAGCTTCGTTTGAACAGAGCCAGGAAACTGCCTCGGGGGAAGCCCAGCCTGGCAACGGGTTTTTACAGGGAACAATAGGAAAATGGGAGTCGTTAAAGCACCGAGGAAATATTTGCCTGCTCGGGACAAAGCTCTGCGTGGAGAGAAGTTTAACTCGATCCCTACAACCCGAGAGCCCCGGTCAGCGGGAGGCACGATCCACTTGGGTGGATTTGTTGTGGTTGAAGCTGCTGGGTGGGAGATTCTGATCCCTCCAACCCAGTTCTAATGAGTAATTTGGCTTCACCCACTTTCTTACCTGGCGGGCTGCTCCTCCTGGATTTCAATGGACCAATAGGAAAGTTGAAATGCCCTGGTTTCACGCCTGGGAAACTGCACGGTCACGGAGCTCTTGTGTTTTTCCCAAAATACTCCCATAAACCAAGAAGTTGGGAAACCCACTCCTACTGCACGGGCTGGGAGAGGCTGGAAGCAGGAGGGCAGCTGCTCCTGCTCAGCACTTTCAGTTTCTCTCTCCACGCACTCTCCTGGCACAACTTCCTCTAAAGCGCTTTGCGAGTGAAAAGCTGCATTAGTGGTGGGATTAATCCTCTGAGGGGATAATAAAATCACAGAATCATGGAATCGTTTAGGTTGGAAAAGCCCTGTAAGGCCAACCCCACACTGCCAAGGCCGTCGCTAACCCATGTCCCCAAGTGCCACGCTTTTAAATCCCTCCAGGGACGGTGACTTCAGCCCCTGCCACGAAAAAGTGGAGTCAAAGGCCATGCCAAAGTCCAGAAAGACACACCCACGGCCTCTCCTTCACCTGCCAAAACAGGTGACCTTGTCACAGAAGGAGATCCGGTTGATCAGGCAGGACCTGCATGTCACAAACCCACACTGGCTGCTCCAGATCCTGACTGCCCTGTTGGTGCTGCGTGAAGGCACTTGGGTGATCTGCTCCTGTCACTTGACTGACAGCCCTGTAGTTCCCAAAATCCTCCTTCCTGCTCTTCACAAGAAGCTGTGTGTCACATCTGCTCACTTCCAGTCAGCTGGGACCTCCCAGTTAGCCAGGGCTGCTGGTAAATCATGGAAAGTTACCCCCATCCATTGCAGCAATCCATTTGTTTGAGTCATCCCACATGACTCTCTGCTGGCAACCGTGTCACAGCTTTCCTGATGCACAGTGCCTTCTAGATCCTTCTCCTGCTGGTGACCACGCTGTGGGTGTTGGTGCAGTTGCACTTCAGTTGGGTTATCAATCCCACCACCTTTCTGGAGAAGTCCCAGTTCCTGTGTGACCATTCTCAGGGGCTTTCATGGTTTCCAACACATCAATAACCCTTGTGGCTGTGCTGCCACATGGATCTCCATCCCCTGCCTCCATGGAGACAGCACACTGAAGGACCTGGCTAGCATGCTGTCCCTCAAACATTGGATAGGCCTCCCATGCAAAGATCCTTTTCCCCCTTGAAGGCAGGAGAGCCCAAGTTCTTCAGCAGTCTTGGTGTCCTGCAAACTCACCCAAAATCAAAACTAAACAAAATAAGCCTGGAGAAGTCATTCCTTCTTGCTCCTCACACTCACAGTCCCGAAGATGAAGCAGAAAAAGCAGGACATCCCTGCCTAGGCTTCTCACCACCCTGCCCTCGCTGCTCCTCCTGTTTCTCAACATCTCTGCTTTTTCCACAGCCTTATCCAGCTCAGCTCCAGCACTGGAGCAATGTGAGACCTCACAGACTTTGGCTACACAGAGCCAGCTGCTTCCAGCTAATTTGGTCCACGAGCTCCTGCTGCCCATCCTCTCATTGGCATTAGGGCAGGGCTCGTCTCCTGTGGCCATCCCTTCAGCACTGCAACCGTCCGTGAGCAGGACACAGGAGCCCTCCACACGCGGCTGGAACCCTTCAGGACTGTTTTTTGCTCTTTGATGGAATTTAAACATGCCAGACAAGTAGAAAAACTACGCATTCCCTGTGTTACTGCTCCAGAGGGAACAGCATCCAAAAATGACGCAGCTCCATCTCCAGCGGGGACTGCTGCATCCCGGGATGGAGGAACAGGCCCTGCTCCAGCCCACTGTCAATGTCAAGGCTTTCCATCCCTCAGGTCAGGAAGCAAACCACCACTGCCCATGGCTGCAGTAAAAACACGTGGGTTTGCATCCGTTTTCCATGGGATCGCTGGCATTCCTCAGCGCAGCGAGCGGCACCGCCGGGCTCAGGCGATGACTGGGCTCGCTCGCAGTTAAGCCGGGCTCAGGCGATGACCGGGCTCGCTCGCAGTTAAGCCGGGCTCGGGCGATGACTGGGCTCGCTCGCAGTTAAGCCGGGCTCAGGCGATGACTGGGCTCGCTCGCAGTTAAGCCCCGTATCACATCATCACTGATGCCGCTTTAGAGCCCTGTCAGCGGCTCGGGGTGGGGACACGGGCACACCACGACGGCCACTCCCAGTGTGAGTCTGAGCGGTTCCAGGGCAACAGTGACAGGGGAGGGAATGGCTGTGACGGCCGATCTTATCTTGTGTCAACAACACTCAGCTTTAAGGGGAATGATTGCAGGAATACAAACAAACAAACCCAGCTCACTGCTGAGACCGGGGGAGCTTCAACCCCCAAAAAATACCCTGCAGGCTTCCACACCAACGATCCAAATTGGCTGAGGACCAACAGAAGGATCTACGTGCCCTGCCACGGCCTCAAGGATGGACTTGTTTGGGTTTGCTGTGCAGCAGGAGGTTGGCAAGGTGGAGGACCATGGCTCAACCCTGTCATCCCAAGGCAGAAGACTCCAGGTGCAGGTGGTGGTAACAGGAAACAAGCACCAGCTGTGCCTCTCTCCACCTCTTCCACATCCAAGTGTTGTTTTATGGCTGTGAGTGACAATCACTCACAACACATCTTCTGCCACACAGCCCAAGCGGAGGTGACAGGAGGTCACTGGGAGGGGTGACCCAAAGGGGAACACCTGGAGAGATGGTCCAGAAGCACAAAAGCCCTCCTTGCAAAGCCAGGCGTCCTCCTGTAATCCCACACATCATTTAGTCCAGGAAGCAGCTGGAAGTTGGCTCTTCTTGGGTACAACTTCCAGGCCTGGTTCAGATCCATAATCCTGAGCAGCTCTGCTGCTTCCTTGCCAGGGAATCCTCCTCCTCCTCGTCCACCCCATCACCTGCCTCTCCCCTAGGACAGGGCCAGGACCACTCTCCAGCCAAGAACAGTGGCAGCAACCAGCAGCCATCACCTTATTTCCCATGTGGCACACAGGGTTCCTCATCTGAAGGTCCAACAGATCCCCCAACATTCACAGCACGCTGACCCCAAGGTGTCCTTCACAGCTGGTCCATCACAGTCATCTCCAATCACACCTGGAGGCGACTGGATCTGAGCCTGGGATGCACAAGCAGCAATTTCCAGCAGAGCTGACCCACCTCCACATCTTGTTCTCCCCAAATCTGCGACAGCCTTTGACCAAACAGCAGTGCCAGCAACCCAACAGCAGACCTGGAGTGTCCCAGCTTTGGTGAACGGGGACAAAATCAGCAAACCTGAGCTGAGCAGTGGTGGAACGGAGGTTGTGGAGGGGATTTCCTCCGGCAGCAAGGCTGGGAGATGTGGGAAATCACCACCACACACACCTCCAGCAGCTCCACCACCCGCTCAGGATCAGGACCACCATCTGCCAGCACAGCCCCATGACTTGGTAATGGGATCACATTGTTGCTCCTGTCTGCTTCTGCCACACAGGGCTGGAAGCATTTCTTTTCCCTTTTAAAATATGTTTTAAGTACCTCAATTAGTGCATTTTGGGCTCCTTCCACATTGCCCCCAAGCAGTTCTTCTGTCAGGGGCTCTATCCTTCCACTGCCAATTATTAGTGGGGCACAGGGTTGTTATTTTTCCAGGCCAGGGGCCAAATTTGTATTTAATTTTTGCTCCAGATGGCACAGCACTCCAGATGCATCAGCTGGAGCATTGAACCTGTATGAATAAAGTAATAGAGCAAACAACATGATTTACTCAGGGGCTGTTTGACACGCTTAAGGTGCTTTGTGTACATCTGTTGTGCAAAAAAAAAATAGCATTCAAATGAATTCAGATGATGGTTTCGCTGTTAAACCCAACACCTGAGGGAAATGAAACAGCAGTAGGAATCTTAAAAATAATGATGACAATAATAGTAGAACTTATATTTTGCTTTCTGTAAGGTCAAGAATATATTTTTTTAAAAAGGCTGATTTCAGCCATCACTGCTGAGCACTGGGTTTTGCTCACCTTCCTCTGTCCCCAAAGCTGCTGCTGGCAGCAGCTTGAAAACCAGGGTCAGAGTTCTCCCAGGAGAAGGGCTGGTGATCCCAGATTTCAGCGTGGTGCCGAGAGCTTATGGCTCTGCTCACCCGAGGAGATGTGAGGAGGACACCAGAGGACAACCACGAGATGTTCCAGTTATGCTTCTGGCAAATTCACCCCGTTCCCAGAAAGCTGCTGCATCCCTCCGGCACAGCCTGCAGCCGGGATGTGCTCCCTGCAAACTAAAGCACCCAAAATAACTCAGAATAGGGAAAGGAAAAAAAAAAAAGACATTGAGTAGTCGGGTGTATCTGTCTGGGCACATGAATAGCCGCCGTGTAAAAACCAGCTGAGCCCGCAAACGCTTGGAAACAAAGGGACTGGGGGGGGAGGCGTCTTTTTGTGCTTGGCTTTGCTCCCTTCAGAGCATCCTTGGGCTGTGAGAGCCCGTCCTGGCGGCACCCGAAACAAAGGAAAGCCGGGAGCTGTAGGCAGGAGCCAGCTGGGGAAAACCGGGACGAGGAGGAGGAGGAGGAACCCGCATCGCCCTCCCCGGCAGCTGCGGAGCCGGGCTCGCGTGTTGCCGAACACGTTATCCATGGCAGGAAACTCGAGATCAAAGGCGAGAAGCGTGCCAGAGCAAGATGTCATCCAAAGCCTCCTGCCAAAGGTGTGCACGGGAGGGGGGAAGCAGCCCCCGGACACACACGCTGGCACATCCGACGGAGCCGGGGTGACCGAGACCCACGCGTGCTCTCCTCCGTGCACCCCGGCCGAAGACAAAGGCAGGCTGAAGCGAGCAAACGAAATAACCCAGAACCCCGAACCGCAGGAGGTGCATTTTTACCCGTGGGCTTGCAGTCCCCAGGGTGCCACGCAGGTCCCCTGCCAAAGCAGGGAGGGCACGGCAGGAACAGCAGCCCAGTGTAACTCCAAAAAAGCAGCTTTTCCCATTTCTGGGTGGCTATTTTTTTTTCCTTTTTCTTTTAAAGCAGAAGAAACCCGCAGCGTCCTGTCTCAGCCCCAGGAAAGCAAGGGGACGTGTCAGATTCCAAGCCAGCGGGAGCAGAGGTGACCTGGGGACCCTGAGCCGAGCGTGGGGTGGGACCCCCAGGAGCTGCCCCTCATCAGGCAGGATGGGGACATGTCCCCTGTCCCTTTGTGCCGCCCCAGCCCGCTCCTCCATCCATCCCTCCGGGGTGATGCAGTCCCAGCCCATGGCTCCAGCTTCGGGCTGTCCCCTGTGCCCCCACAAGCGGGACCCCATGGCAGCCCTACAGTGCACAGAGCACAGCCCAGAGCCCCCGAGAGTGCCCCCTTTGCGGTCTGCAGGGACGTGGGGGCTGCTCCGTTGCCCTGTGGAGGTCCCTGTCCCAGAGGGGACTGTGGAACAGAGACACGGGGACCCTGTCCCCCATGGGTGCCCCTGTCCCCTATGGGTGCCCCTGTCCCCCATGGGTGCCCCCGTCCCCCATGGGTGCCCCTGCCCCACGGGGGGGATGGAGGGGGAGCCCTGTCCCACAGAACAAGACACAGGGAGAGGGTCCTGGCCCACAGAGGGCTGGAAAACAGACCCTGCCCCACAGAACAAGGCACAGAGAGAAGGTCTTGTCCAAAGAGCGGATAGAGGAGGGACCCTGCCCCACAGAACAAGGCAGAGTGAGGGTACAGCCCAAAGAGGAGATGGACGAGGGACCCTGCCCCACAGAACAAGGCACAGGGAGAGGTCCCACAGGTGATGCAGTCCCAGCCCATGGCTCCAGCTTCGGGCTGTCCCCTGTGCCCCCACAAGCGGGACCCCATGGCAGCCCTACAGTGCACAGAGCACAGCCCAGAGCCCCCGAGAGTGCCCCCTTTGCGGTCTGCAGGGACGTGGGGGCTGCTCCGTTCCCAGAGGGAGGTCCCTGTCCCAGAGGGGACTGTGGAGCAGAGACACGGGGACCCTGTCCCCCATGGGTGCCCCTGTCCCCCATGGGTGCCCCTGTCCCCCATGGGTGTCCCTGCCCCACGGTGGGGATGGAGGGGGAGCCCTGTCCCACAGAACAAGACACAGGGAGAGGGTCCTGGCCCACAGAGGGCTGGAAAACAGACCCTGCCCCACAGAACAAGGCACAGAGAGAAGGTCTTGTCCAAAGAGCGGATAGAGGAGGCACCCTGCCCACAGAACAAGGCAGAGTGAGGGTACAGCCCAAAGAGGAGATGGACGAGGGACCCTGCCCCACAGAACAAGGCAGAGTGAGGGTACAGCCCAAAGAGGAGATGGACGAGGGACCCTGCCCCACAGAACAAGGCACAGGGAGAGGTCCCACAGCACAGAAGCGCTG